TGTTCTCAACTCGGACCACTGCCCCCTTTTCATTCTCTCACCTCAGCAAATGCCTAGAGAAATGGCAGGTGAGGTTGGGCAAAGGCTTGCCTAAACTCCAGGGCAGATAAAACTTGGGAAGAAAGTCTGGGCTGGGGGTAGACAGGGATGGGAAGCCTGAGGGTTAGGAGGAATTTTTGCAGACTGATAAAGAGCTAAAAGCAGGAGGCAAAAATAGGGGTGGGGTATATGAAGAGGGGCTAAGCTGTGGAAAGCAGGAGGGGCTAAAGTTTGGGAGCTGCAGGCGAGCAGGAAGCAGAGGCGGGGAGAGAGTTAGAGGCTGGAGGAAAAGGGCACCTTGGTCTCAGGCAAGACAGGAAGACTGACAACCAGGCGACAGGGATGGGCTGATGGAGAGGCAGACACACCCCACATTCATGTACTGGGCATTTCTCTGGCCTCATTTCCCCATGTACTGCCCCAATGAGGGGCAGAAAAGGATCCTTATGTCACAGAAGAGAAATACCCAGGCTAAGGGACCCTCCCCAGTCTTCACATTGAGGATACAGTTCTCTCTATCCCCCTGCAAACCCACCATTGGTGTGTAAATTGACCAGGTTAACGGTCATGAGTGAAAGGAGCCTACGTGTGCCTGATTCTGTCACATGGGCTGGGGCACAGGTGCCTGCACCCAGGTTAGACCCCCAGGGTTGCAGGTGTGCTGGCATTTCTGAATCACAGCATGCTAGCACAGTATGTGGCTGTGACCAGATGCCCAGTTAGCTCCCAGTGATTGAGGGCAAAGCATTCATCAGCTCTCGCGTGGGAGTCCCCATGTGTGTCCGTGTGTCTGGGTGTGTGTGTCTGTTTTTTTCCTGGCTTTGATAGGAGGATGAAGTCAGCGTCTTGGACAGAGCTGGGATCAGCTTCCTTCCTCTGCCTTGGCTTGAAGCCCCACGGCCAAGGGTAGGTAGCAGCAACCCTAGGAGCCCTGGGTGGGAGGTGGGGGGAGAGTACAAAAATGGTGAGGGAGGGTCTTGAACATCATTACACGGGGAGAGCAGACTGCACAGAGTATGGATTTTCTTTGATTTCAATAAATCTGTGCCATAGTCATCTTTTTTTTTGGTCCTACTTCCTGGTTTTATTATTTAGTGTATGATCACCGTAAGTATACTTGGCCCAGAGAGTGGCCAGGAGAACCTGGAGAGCAGCAAGAGCTGGAAATATGGCCCTGGGGTGTCTTGGAAGTCTGCTGCTGGGGACTGGATGCCAGAGTCTCAGAGTGGGAGTGCACAATTCCAGATATTTACAGCTTACATGGCATTTGGGGAAGCCACTGGGAGCTTGATGGACATAATTCCAGGCTCTGAGACAAACACTGTCTAAAATCTGATTCACCGCCTGGATTTCATGGTCTTTCAGGAACTCATATCTTATATGTGTTTGTATCTCAGGAAAGCACCAGGCCTTGCATAGAGTAGTTGCCCAAAAAACATCTGTCAATATTGAATTATAAAAGGATGGAGGAGTGCCTGATAGGGGGCCACAGGCATAAAAGGTAGGGAATTCCAGTGATCAGAGCTGGGTAGACCTCATTGCCCTGTCCTCAGCGGGGAACAGGAAGGTTGGGGTGTCGTCGAGAACTGTTCATGTGCACAGGCTGTTCTCTGAAGCCTCAGTCCAGGTGTCCTCAGCTCCGAGTCTCTATCTTTGAATGATCCTCCAGGTGCCTGTCCTGACCTCAGGAGGATAAGGGATAAAAGATATAGAAAGGAAAGACAGGGAGAAGGGAAAGAGAAGACGTAAGAGTAAGAGCAATTAAGGGCGAGGGCCTGAAGGATAGAGACAGGGGAATAAAGAGAGGCCAGAGGCTGCTATCCAAGGAAGCAGTCCCAGAGAGGGGAAAGACACAAAGTGTTTGTACTGGGCTTCTGTTTACAAAGCACTTTCCTTCGCAGTGCAGCATTTTATCAGCCCCCACTTTGTGGCTTAGGAAACAGACTTATGGACCTTAAGTGACTTGTCCAAGGGACTTTGCTAGTGGTGGTGAAGGTGGGCCTCAACCAGGTTTTCTGATTCCAAAGGCTGTAGTCTCTCCCCTCACCCAACAACAGCCCTGGGAAAGGACAGGATTGACGACTTGGGGCAGAAATAAATGAAGTGGCTTCTTGAAGGACTTGAGAAGGAGGGGTGGAGAATTTAGATTTTTGAAACTTCTTTGTGCATCCAGTCACTACATAGATTCAGTTAGAAGAAATTGTCAAGTACATAACAAGGGGGTCAACATGCCATTATTGAGAACTGAGGAGGGGTGCGAGGAAGGGGAACATGGAGAGAAAGGACTGAGCCTCAGATCAAAGATGGGAGAAAACTAAGAGACTAGGGCTGAAAGGGGGGCAAGAGAGTCATGGAAAGAAGGATTTAGACCCTTAAAACTTCCTCTGCCTGGAGACATGGGTGTGGGGAGAAGGGAGGAGGGAGGACATTTCTATCTCGTGACAAAAGAAAGTCACACAATTGTTTTGTTCTCTGCTCTGAGGCGGGTGGGCGCCTGTATTTACCAGAGGGACCGAGGTCGCTGTGGCAACCACACATCTGGGCCCCGGAATCCAGATGTGCTGTATCCAGAAGCCATAGCATAACGATGAGGCAAACATTAGGCTCCCCAGTCCCGGCCCCCACAGCTGGGAAGAGGACAGAGGACTGGATGGCG